AAAAAAAAAATTGTTGGCTGAAGGTGTGTTCCAATGATACAATCTTTGTCAGAACAGTCATACAAAATAGGAGAAATACAGAAGACAGAAAAACAACTTCTAGGATGTAAGAGTATCAGACTACCAACTTAAAAGTGTAGGAGATGCTAGAAAACAATGTAYGTACAAGACTGGTGACAATACTTGGGGAAAGAAAAACTTTTATTATAATATTTTAAACAAAAGACGAGGGCATGAAACTTCTCTTGGGTAGGAGACTTCTCTTGGTAATCTGAATATGCCAAGAATATCCTTGCATTATGGCCTATATAGCCTGTTCACTCAATCCTGACACCTCCCCACCTCCTCCAATTTACCCCCCCAACTGGCTCCTCCTTACACTCCAGATTAAATTTTATCTCCCAAGAGAAGCCTTCTCTGCCAATTTAGAGCAGTCAATCAATCATTATCCCATTATCTCTCTTTGCATACCACATCACTATTTGCTATTTTTCTTTTTAAATTTTAATTGTCTTGCTCCACTTTAAAGTTCTATAGGAACAGGAATCTTTATTGTCTTTTTCACCATTACATCTACAACATAAGCACAAAGGAAGTGCTCAAATGTTTTATATTTGTTTAACAAAGCATTCTTCCTCAATTATATGTAGCCACAGAGGGAAGTTTGGTGAGTTATTTAAGGCAGAGTAAATTTTAAAGGTTATACAGGACTTTCATAAATGATTTGCACATATAGGGTGAACATTTCTCATGAGTAAAAGGTTGATTAGTGAAGGTCCACATTCTGAAGTTGTTTCTTTCTAATGGTACTGCTCCCCACTACATAGGTGTTTTGTATTACTATCATCTCTCATAATAGATGGAAACATCAGCCTAAATATTATAAATTCTACAAGCATGGAAAAGCTTTCTTTAACAGTCTGTCATGCCTATGATCAATATGTGCAAAATAAATATTATCCAACTGTTTTTTTTTTCTATTAGGGTAGAAAAAGTAAAGGTAATTTGCATAATACAGGACTTGATTAAATACTCAAAAAATTAATTTACCAGAATAAAAACATGATATTAGAAAGCATTGATATAAACTTGTTTTAGCTGAGGTTTCTTGGAATATATCACATGGCCTACCAAAATAAAAATCCTGGAAGATCTTGGTACAAAGCTGCACATTATAGAATAGACTAATGACTATTTGTTACACCTGTCTTCTAAATTTAGCTGTTTACTCCAAACACTCCTAACCTCCTTTAATAAATGTTTACACAACCAGCACTGATACACTTATATTTAAAGCTATATCCTTCCATAAAAGCAAAGATTCCTAGGAACTCAGGAGGCTGAAGCAGGAGGGTTTCAAATCTGAGGCCAGTCTGAACAATTTAGCAAGACCCTGTCTCAAAATAATATTAAAAGGGTTGGGGGTATCTCAGTGATAGCTTGCCTAGGATATGAGAGGCACTGGGTTGAATTTATGGTATTCAAAAAAAAAAAAAAAGAGAGAGAGAGAGAGAAAGAGGGAGATTCAAGTTGGTATATTCTTTTAGTTCAATTTCTTTCAAGCTACAAATTCTAATATTCTGGAATTTGGTGAGGAACTCTTTTTGTTAAGACARAATTTTCAGAATTTTAGAAATGACTGTTTCCCCTTTTAGTTTGCACCTTTGCACAAGACCCTTCTTAAAAACTGTACCGTCCAAAACAAATCTACATGAACAATTTTGTCAGTCAGAGCCTTAGTATTTTTGTACTTATCTACTTCACTGTACTTATCTAATATCACAGTTCATTCACTGTACTGCCAAAGGAACCAAGATACCAAACTATAAGGTTTAATAGCTGGGCGAGGTGATAATCCCAGTGGCTCAGGAGGCTGAAGCAGGAAGATGGTATATTCAAAGCCAGCCTCAGGAATTTAGTGAAGCCCTAAGCAACTCTGTGAGACCCATGTCTCAAAATAATGGGGGGGGGGGGAGTTGGATGTGGCTCAGTGGTTAAGCACTTCCGGCTTCAATCCCTGGTAGTAAATAAATATCTTTCCAAAGCCATTAAACTTAACACTTCACCACCACTGGTACCAAGGGAACCTAAACTTTTGATGTCCTCTATGGGGAATATTTATTCTTCCACTTAATACAAATGGGGGGGGGGAATATACTTATTAGAACTGAAGAATGCATTACAAATTTCCAGGAAGACCCAGTTAACATGTTTTGAATGTATTTCTTCATTCATAACATTTTTTAAATAAACAAGTTAAATTGTGTAGCTTAAATGCTGATACAGTTTCTAAACAATGTTAAAATCAGTATATTTTAAAGAAAGTGCCTATAACATAGTCTAGCAAGAGTCTTCCCTTTTCTAAATATTTTTTTTAAATTTTTTCAGTTGTAGGCGAACACAATACTTTTATTTTATTTGTAGGTGGTGCTGAGGCTAGAACCCAATGTCATATATGTGTGAGGCAAATGCTCTAACACTTAGCTACAACCACAGGCCCCTTTCTAAATCTTTTGAAATCACACCTTGCTCTAACACAGCAGGTTCTAAAGTATGGGACAATCTGGGTTTTAATACCGACAAGCTCTAACACACCTTGGAGTAAATCTGAAAGTGCTCATCTGTAAAATAAGCACGCTAATATTCCCTGCCAGATAATATTCCATGTAAAGTTAAGGGTAATTAATATGTGGTAGGCACTCAAATATTAAATATTTCGACCAGTATCAGATTCCAACAGTTTGTCCATAAACTGATAATTTGTCAGGAGACACAACTAGTACTATTCCCTCACTGGTTATGCTGCACTATGCCACATTTTTTTCTTTGTATRTCTGCTTAACTTCTTTATCACAGCTCACAAAAAGTTTTACTATCCTACTAACTCAAACAAAGGTAGTTCAATACTATAAACTTCTTCAGTGGAATAAATAATAGTACAAATACTTACATAATTTTGAACAATCACTTGGAATTAACCGATATTATATTGCAACTAAAAATTTGATTAAAGGAAATGGTTCCTGTATTTCCAATATTTTTTCACATTAACACTGCCAATCTGAGAGCTTGAATAGTTTAGAATTTGCCTAAATACACATGCTTCAAAACCAAGATTATGCCCATAAAAGCAACTGTAAAAGGTACCAAGCCAAGTATCTTGTTATCCAACAAAGTGTTTCTCATTTGGGGAATCCCTGAAAATTATGTTTCTTTTTTAAAAGGCCTTTAACTCAACAAACACTGCTCTAATTAGAGAAGAAGAAATCATGGAAATCCCAATGCCATGTGGGTGATTTTGAACAAGTACTATCTCCCAGTCAGGACTCTCTTCCTCACKCTTTTCTTCCACAAATACCCCAAAAAGAAAGTGATTTATTATCAGTAACTTTTTATGCTACTACAATTAGGATATGAAAGGTTTCATTCTTTGTTGTGGATAAAGAGTAAGGATTCTTTCCAGAACAGGTGTGCATATTTGTGGGAGGAAGGAGCTGACTGGGGGCCAGTGGAGATGAAAGGACATTCAAAGCTATGGTTATGGGACTGGGGATGTGGCTCAATGGTAAAGCACTTGTCTAGCATGCAAAAAAAACTTCCAGGATTTGATCCCCAGCACTGAAAAAAAATAAAAAATAAAGCATGATTAGTGGGAATGTTCAAGTATTTTCCTGGGGACTGCAGACAGAGAAAACTGTCCAGGGCTAGTAAGTGTTTATAAGAAAGCTGAAAGGCAGGAAAGGGGATTTTGGACCTCACTGAGAATTTCAATTTCAATACCAGACGAGAAACAGGCTGAACCTTATTCTACTGCTGAAGCTGTTGTGCGTTGCTTTTAAATAAAGCAATGTGATGGAAGGCAAGCTTAAAAGGATTTATCCGGGTACAAGGTCCAAGTGGACTGGTGGGTGGAGATTATTACAGAAGTGTCCGGTGAGATAAGGACCAGAACTAAGATGGGATAATTATAAATACTCCTTTCTCTGAGGGCAGGTCGAAGGAAATTCAAAGGGCACTTTTTATGAAAGTGAACTCATTGTTTTCAAAATCTTGTGACATCTGAATCATATTTAACCAAGGCTTATAACCTAAGGTTTTTCGACCCCATGACCAAAGCAAATACAAAGATTTTCTTGGTCAAAGGAATATTTGGCTTCTCAATTTGAACCCCCGATTCAAGACTCTGGGCTGGTGACCAGCCAACCAGTTCTCCATACACAAAGAGCTCCACATCAAAATTCACGGCCTGGGACTCGGTGGCGTCCCCGCACATCGGTACCCTTTGCTGGCCTGCCCCGGGACTGCCACGCTCTCTGCTGGGGGCCTGACAAAGGCTTTAAGTGGAACCCGACCCTTTGAGGAGTATCCTGTTTCTCGGGCCTGAGGTTTTGAAACACTCKGCAACTAGAGCCCCCCGTCCAGCAGGCTGCTCCAGAAGCTTGAGGGGGCGCTCGGCCCAGTCTCCSAACGCGGAGCCCTGGCACCAAGCCAGCAGGCCGGGGCCTCAGGCCCCAGGCGGAGGCCGCCGGGTGGAGGCCGTGGGAAGCTCCCGAAGGCTTCCCTTCACCGCTCTCCTCGCGCGGGCCTTGGTCTGGCCGAGGAGCGACCTAGCGAAACGGCCCCGGAGGCCGGGCCCTGCCCGCGCCTTGGCGCAGCCTCGCCATGGCTCCTGTCCAGGTCCACCCCGGCCTCCATCCAGCGCTTCCACCGAAGCCTCCCCCGGCCGAGCCGCCAGCCCCGCGCCCTTCCCTGCCCGCCTGGCCCTCTCACCCAGAAGATGAGGTTGAGAAAGACCAGCACGGTCTTGGAGGAGGTGATGCCACACTGGCCCATGGTGCCGGAGGCCCGCGGAGGCCCGGCTCGGCGAGCGGGGCAGCGCTCACCGAGCGAGGGGGCAATGGCGGCGGMGCCTCCCCGCTGGGAACTGCTCGGCCTGCGCGGCTCTCCCCGCAGACCCCCGCGCCGTCGCGCAGCCCCGGCCCCAGAAAGCACCTCGCTAGTCCGCGCAGCCGCCGCAGTTCCCCAGGGCCATTCCCTGGCAACCGAGGCCCACCTCCCGAGTCCAAGGACAGTCGTCTCAGCCAATCATTCCCGCGGAAGCTGCAGCGAGGCCACGCCTCTTAAAGGAACCGAAGTTTCAGCGCCTTTTCTTGGCCTCTGGCCGCCCTTGGATATAGATGGCTCTTTCAGGAGGTTCTGGTAGATGGAAGCCGTTCTCCTCTTATTGCACGTTTACTCCACCAGCCTTATAAATGATTCCTAACCCAYGGTGCGCTTTTTACCTAACCCAGTCTCCTCTAGGAAGGTCGGAGCCTAGCTTCTCCTACTCCACATAGAGAGTTCCTGACAGGTAATATCTAGGCAGCATTGTGTGGGACAAGTACAGAACATCAACACAAATTGTACCAGGCGGTTGGCTGGCTCTCAGGAGAGTCACCAGAAAGGAGAAAAGACTGGTGATGGGGTTGGCAAGGAAGAGATGGGCAAGGTAACCTATCCAGGGTGGTACATTTTGGACCAAGATCAACAATTACAAAGTTTTTGTTTTTAAATACATTGCAGCATTTCACACTTACTCCAGTGGTGGATAAATCGTAGCAGTTAACACCGACTAAGTGCTTACTGCATGCAGGCTCTGTTCATTCAACTGTCACCACAACCTTCCACRGATGGTACTATCGTTATCAGCCTCCTTTTACTGATGGGGTAATTGTGGTTTAGAAAGATTTAGAAGTTTACCTAGAACCATACAGAGAATAGGTGATTAGATCAGAAACTGCATTCTCAGTCACACTTGGAACTGCCCCTGTTCTCCATCTTTTCTGCCATCACAGTCCTGCTCTCCTTCCTCAATTAGACACCTGTTCACTTGTCCTTAATCATCTCACTCTCCTGCAGTCTCCCTGGCTCATGACCTTCTGCAGGCACTCAACAATACATATGCACCTAGGTGTCCTATTCACTTGCACCAAACAGAAATAGCAACAGCAGCAGCAACAGCAGTTATTTATTCACCCATGGAACTTGCTACAGGTGCCATCTCTGTGCCTCACTGTTCTGGGTAGAAGTATCAAACAGTGGGCAAGACAAATCCTTGCTACCATTCTAGTAGAGGAGGCAGACAATAAACAAATAGGCCAATAGGTATATGACGTGATGGGTCTTGACAGAAAACAATTAGGGAGAAAGTGATAAAGGAAGCTCTCTTTTTTGAGGGGGGAAGCAGGGATTGAACTCAGAGGCATTCAGCCACTGAGTCACATGTATCTTTTTTTCTTTAGAGACAGGGTCTCACTGAATTGCTTAGTGCTTCACTTTTGCTGAGGCTAGGTTTGAACTCATGATCCTTCTGCCTCAGCCTCCCAAGCCATTGGGATTACAAGGGTGCACCATGGTATCCGGGTAACAGAAGTCCTCTCTGAGGTGAGGGCATTGGAGGTGGCTGGAATGAATTGAGGAAGCAATCCAAATGATCATTTGGAGAAAGAACAGTCCAGAGACAGAAACAACCAGTGCAAAGGTCCTGAGGCAAGAACACAACCACTATATTGTAGGAAAAGGACCATCAAAGAGCTTGGTATACTGGAGGTTATGGAGAGCAGAGAATGAAATCAACAAGGCCAGATAACCAGAAGGCTACTAATCATGTGTGATGGGAAGATACTCTAAGGAGGAGARGCCAGTAATGCCATATGATTTGTTTTGAAGTACCATTCTTGCTACACCAAACATATCCTAATTAAAAATTCAAAGAAAAGAACAACTATGGCTTTCAGATGTCTCAAGTGTGATTCCCTTTGAGTATCTATTTTCTTACTTTCTCTGCTTTACTCACTGCTTCTCCTCCTTCCCCCAAACAGCTCCTTTGCATTTCTTCAGCCTCATCCCATTTCCCTTAGGAGGCCTCCATCCATTCGTCATTCCTATACCTACACCTCCATCCTGTCCTCCTTGTGCCTTCTTTTTGGTGGGTTTCAGACACTCCCTCACATATTGAAATCACCTGGACCACACAAAGTCCWTCAGGTTCTCTAGGGGTGAAATTCTGAGAATTGTTCATTTTTTTCARAAATACCCCAGGTGGTTCTAACATGGCTTTGAATTTGCAAAACACTATCATAAACTGATAAACCTGGTCACATCTCCCTCCTGAAATAAATAACTATTAACATGTCATTTTGCCTTCCCTCAGCCAAAGTTTCTGGAGGAATCCTCTTGTCCATGGGTTCTCTGACTTCACTGTACACACAAATCACCTGAGCATCAGTATCTTTAAAATGCAGCCTGACTGAGGTTCTGCTGGCTACCCATTCCCAGGTGACATGGTTGCAGTGAAGAGGTTAGGCTTCTGGCCTTGACCCTTGTGCTTCCAGCTCATTTTTTTTTTTCTCTCACTGCATTGTGGTCACTGCATTTTAGTGCCACCGAAATTGCTCTTGCCCATGTTATTAGTGACCTATCTGCCACCCTTTCTCTGATGCAGATTTGCTATGACTTGTCCCCACCAAACCCCATCTTGAAATTAGACTGCCATTGTGGTGGTGTTGGTAGGAGGGTCTTTAGAGGGGATTAGGTCATTAAGATATATGAAATGCTTTTCTCTCAGGAGTGAGTTCTTGCTCTTGAGGGAGTGGGTTGTTGACAAGAGAGGCACTTGTTCTTCTGCTTTCTATGAGTTGGCACAGCGTGAGACTCTCACCAGATGGGGTCACCTGATGTTGGACTRCCCAGTCTCCAAAACTGTGAGACAAAATAAACCCATTTCCTCTATAAACTACCCAGAGTTAGATATTGTTGTAGCATCAGTAATTGCTAATTAAGACACAYATCCTGGTTGAAAGCACGGAACCTAACCTGAAAGCCTAGATTCAAAATGCAGCCCTAGCATTTAATAGCTGGCTGTGYTCTCTGTGCCTCAGTATTCTCATTTTAGGGAGAGGATGAGGATGCCTACATGGCATGTTTGTTGTAAGAATTAAGCAAGTTGATATTCTCAGAGCTGTCAGAAGAGGACCCGTTGCACCAAAATCAATGCTGCATACTYGGTGGTGTTTACAGGACATATCAGCATTTGACGCCACTGACTTCTCCATTCACAAAACTCCTCTCAGCTTCTAGAACCCCATCCTCTGGGTTCTCTGCTTACCTCCCTAGTGCTCCTGGGATGCTGGGGTCTTTTAGCTTTCTCAGCCCACCTGGGCTATCTCACCCAGCGCCCTTGGTCTGGGCAGAACTCTTTGAACTCAGAGCTGCTTCACAATTTCCCCTCAATTTCCTATCCCATAGTCAACTGCCTTAGGCATTGCTTCCGGTGGGTTCATTTGCTCATCCAATGCTTAAACGGGTTACCTACTCCACCTGACCAAATGCCAGGCACTAGGGATATAGCAGTGAAGTGGTTAGACCTGGGTCACAGACCCAAGGAGCCTGTGATTCGMGGCAGAGATTCAACACTAATCATGCAATGATTGATTTAATTACAATTGGGATAAGCAATACAAAGGAGACATGCAGGCTTCTTTGAGAGTTTAGAGCAGGAACCATGACCTTGTGTGGGAATAACTTATGTGCTCCAGATTTGGTGTGCTCCTGTGTTCTTTAGCTCAGTGAAACCCACCCCTCCAGCTGGCTGAGATGGCACACRCCTGTAATCCCAGTGGCTCTGGAGACTGAGGCAGAAGATTGTAAGTTCAAAGCCAGCCTCAGCAACTTAGTGAGGTGCTAAGCAACTTTGTGAGACCCTGTCTCTAAATAAAGTACAAAGGGGCTAGGGATGTGGCTCAGTGGTTAAATGCCCCTGGGTTCAATGCCCAGTAGCAAAAAAAAAAAAAAGGAAACCCATCCCTCCTTACCCAAGCCATTTTGAGTATTGTGACCCTCCCTCCCTGTCACTGATTGCTTCTACCCACGGAGAGATTCCTCCTGGAAGATTCACCTGCTCTGGTAACTCCTGGAACTGTAAAGTCCTAGTGCACAGTGCCCAAGCAGTCTGATTTTATACCCCACTCCCGCCCCAGCAAACTTGATCCTGAAAGGAAAGAGAGCAACTGAGGAGGTGTGGCTCCTCCATCTCCCCAAACACAGGCCCATTGTGTGTCCCACTGCATCTGACCATGGCACACCTGTTTGGGGGATGAGGGAATGGCAAGGCATGAGTGCCTGCTTCTACAACTCTTGCCTTAAAACTTGCCCCTATAAACTATATTAGTTTGGGARCGGTTGTAGTACAGAGATTTGAACGCAGGACTTCATGCATGCTAGGCAAACACTATTCCACTGAGCTACCCCTCCAATGCTTCTATTTTGTTTTGAGTCAGGATCTTGCTAAATTGCTGAGGATGGCCTCCARTCCTCCTGCCTCAGCCTCTCAAGTAACTGGGATTACAGGTGTGTCCCACTATGCCCAACTAATAAAATATCTTTTTCAATCTATATTTGTGAAGTAAAATTCACTCTGATCGGTGTGTGACACAAAATGTCTTGTATCAAAAAATACAGAGGTTTGCCAGGCTCRATGGTGCAGGCCTGTAATCCCAGTGGCTCGGGAGGCTGAAGCAGGAGGATTGCGAGTTCAAAGCCAGCCTCAGMGATTTAGCAAGGCTCCAAGCAACTCAGTGAGACCCTGTCACTAATAAAATATTAGCTGGGGATGTGGCTCAGTGGTTGAGTGCCCCTGAGTTTAATCCCCTGTACGCCCCCCTCCCCCCCCCGAAAAAAAAGAGGTTTATTCTCTTTCTCCATTTTTAAAGCAATGCCTCATCGTGGCGATTAATGTCTTTATTAGACCAGGTCTGGGACCTGATTTGGGATGCTGAGAAAAAAGTGTGTGTGTACACATGTGCATGTAGTGCACATTTACTTTTTTTGAGCTATCTCACATCTGAACACTCTGTTTGGGAGGGTCCTTGTRTCCTCCTGATAGGAGTTAGGGGGAAGCCCAGTGTAAGAGCCGAACATCCTTCTCCCTGCACTCAGGCAGCCAGAATAGGAGGGATGTCAGAGTCAATTRTTCTTCCTCAGA